TTAGAATGTTATGAGTTTAGAAATATTCAGGAAAGGTAAAACAAAAAGGCACGTAGATTCTCAGAATCAACTTCTTGTAGAAACAGAAACAGACCACTAACAACAAACTTTATCAATAGGCAGAAGAGATGCAGAGGTCTGACAAAAAATTATCAGCTTTCCCAGTGTTTACTCATTCTCAGTCCAGTGTTTACTTACTTTCTCTTATTTATTTTCTGTTTCTTCATCTGTGAGTGTATTTACAGGTTTACAGGTCTACATTATGTACTTCGATTAACAGTGCAGAGTTTATTAACCTTCTCTGTGTCAGTCTTCCAGCTCACTGGCTCACTGGGGTTACATATGATGGAGTCACCACTGCAGCTCAGTCTTAGAGTGTGATTATCAGAGGATCTTGAGGTCTTCTTGAGAACAGCTGCAACTAAGCTGACGGTAATGTTACTTCTGTTACATGTAAAGTAACAGGGTTCAGGACTGGACCAGTTTGAGTTGACAATCAGGACTGGAGCTTCCACTGCATCTGAAACACACATGCATTAAAATGTTTAAGGTCACATACACAGATTGAGTAAACTAAACATTAAGAATTAAAAATTACATTTAAGAGAGAATAAAACTCACTTCACTTTAGTGATTGTCACCATTAATTAAATATTTATCATAGTAAAATGACAGGATTTTGTACCTTTGTTGTATGTAAGAAGAACAAATGACAGGAGCAGCCTAAATGTCATCACATCAAACAAAAACCTGCGAACAAACAATGATTCTGTGCATGTAACAATGAAGGAAGTTAAATATGTTAAGTAATGTGACTTCAGCTTCATAAAAGCGGAAGAATCTCTGTATAGTTTCCACTTAGTGTTCATTCAAACCTAAATATTTTCGCATTACACAAAACAGTTGGACCCCTGCACTCACTCTCTGAAATAAAGGTACAAAAGCTGTCACTGTGGCGGTACCCTTTCAAAAGGTACACTTTTAGGTTCTAATATGTACATTTTAAGTACTAATATGTACCACTCCAGTGACAGATGTTTGTGAGAGTGTGGGAGATGATGAAGAGGTCCCCATTAGGTGACAGTCTAAGAGCTGCTGTGAAATGCCAGACATATCAGTGAGGTTGTATGATGCTATTTTGGGCATAGGGTTGCACTGTTGTCTAAAATATGGCTGCGTACAGAAATCTGACTTCCTGCTTTCAGTTCCTGACTCATGACTGGTCCCCCCAAAGTTGTTAAACCTCTTTTAGTTTGTACTGTAAGTCATGATTTATGATTGGTCATATTACATTTATTTGTTCCCTTGTTTTAATTCAATCAAAACAAGGGAACAGATGAACATTATAAAAGCAAGGGAACAAATTAGTGTACAAATTCTTAATTTGTGGCCATGATTATCTAAAATGAAGGAAATTCGTTTCAAAAACAAGGGAACAAATTCTTACTTTGTGGGAATTAATTCTTAATTTGTGGATAAATGTATTTTTTTGTCTGCATGATGTGCGGGTCTCAGTAAGCTTCATCAGTGTTTTCTCAGGTAAAGATATCTCAAGACTAAACCAAGAATCAACAAAAGCTTAATTTAATTACGATTAAAAATAAATAAATGTTTCACTGGACGAGAAACAAATGGTCAGAAATAAGATTAAATGTCACCATCTAGTGGTTTTCAGTCAAAATGGACTGAAAAAACTTGTAATTTGGCAACTCTACAAGTAATACTTGCGGTATAAGTCATGTTTGTACTGGATATGTTAGAATTCAAATGCATACATGTTAAATATAACATGAGAGGTGAGGTCAATATTATACCTATTTGCTCATTTTCATGTGGGGTTAGTTGTCACACTCTTTTTCATTTCTGTTAATATTGCTCACTTTGGGGTTCTTTTTTTTTTTTAGAAGTTATATGTTCTGTGTAACAATATCAAATTCAGAATTCACACAAAAAAATTCAGAATTCACACAAAAATATTAAGACAGTTTGGTTGTGGATGTTTGAAAGCAATATATTAAACCAATGCTAGAGAATACAACAACGTTGGCTGAATAGCAGAACGGCATACCTTTTTTTTAACCATATAGAGATATGGCAAAGAATAGTAAGAGTCTGTAACATGATGGCGACTACTGCAAAGGAACTACAAACATGACACAAGAAACAGGAAACAAGAACAGAATGGGGCAAAATGCAATTTAAAAGTCAATATAAAGTACAGCGGTAAAGTAAAGCACAAGAAATACAAAACATGGGGCATGTAACAATGGATGCCATTTTGAGATCAAGTCTTGTGACAACTTCCCCATGTATGACAAATAGCCAGTTTCATTTTAAGTGTCATCGGGTGAAATGGCGGATGGTTTCTTCTTTGGTTGTTTGTACACCACTGAATAAACTGTATGGTCTATTCCAGGGGGATTGTAGGTTTTTGGTGTTGTCCTAATGTGCAGTAGACTGTGATGGGTCGATTATCTCCCGTTTTCTCTCGTCTCTGGTCTTTAGCCTAATGAAATGCATCGAGAAAGTGTTTTTTTTTAATCCCTCACTGAGTTGTAAATATAGATTATTGGAGAACGTTTTACAAAAAAAAAAAAAATTTGTTTTTCTACTTCAGATTTTCATGCTTAATTTTAAGTTACTTGTGTTACATGCTAGCCCTTTTAGTCTAGAGGTAATGGACCTAGCAGTAACATTTTTGGAGAGAGAAAGCACAGGGACCTCTTGTCTCCAGCCCCAATAACACACCTCCAAACAAAAAGAAAATATTTAACTTTTTATTCAATCATAAGAAAAAGATAAAAGGAAACATAAGCTTCAGGAGGGGGCTTTTTTTTTTACACAAAGATACATCCAATAATCAACTATAAAAGAAGCAACCTTGTGTTTAGAATGGAAAATAATATATTCTGACACTATTGTAGGATATCATATTCCAATATCCTAGCTGTTTATGGAATGTACATCATGACTGTGCGTGACTAAAACTTTGCACATAAATTTATGACAAAAAAAACACATTTATATATAATTAACAATTGTATCTTCTTTTTAAATACATAAACATTTTATTTGACTACCTATCCTTTATAGCATTGCACAGAATGTCTTTTGACCTGAACACAGCAAACAAAATTACACTCACCTATGACAGATACTCTGTATGTAACAATATTGTTGTCTGAGTCTCCACTTGCTCTTGCTGTGTAGAGTCCACTGTCTGTCTTCTGCATGTTCTTCAGTGTCAGAGAGAAGGTTGTATCATTGAAATCCACTCTGTCCTTGTAGGAAGAGTGAAGTCTTACTCTTTTAGTTTCACTTGTATATCTAACTATAATCTCTGATTTATCATTTTTCCAGGATAAATCATCAAACTCTGGTAGTTCTTGTGTCTGTATATGCAGTTGAACAGAATTTCCTGTTTGCACAACCACAGAGATCTCAGCACTGAACCCTGAGGAGAGAGAAAAATGCCCATTTCGGAAAAATGTGTACTAGAGGCCAAGTGAATTCACCAGTAGTTTTATTATGCTATTAGCATAATAAAAATGTAATGCTATAATGCACATACCTGGAGCTATTTGTCTCTGCTTACACAAATAAACAATAGGAAGGAAAGATTGTCCTTCAGACTTATACTATGTACTCTGTTTCAAACTGATTGTCTCACATTTTTGTTATTAATAATAGTTTTAATGCAGACAGCATATGAAAAGAAAATAATATATGGTTGTTTTGTTGCATTTCTTGTTACATACATATTATATAATATTACATATTTTAATGAACATGTGTTTTACCTGTTTTGAAGGTTAGAAGACAAAGAAGAATTCTGAGTCTGTGATTTATTGCCATTGTCATGAATTAAAAACTTAAAAAGAAACAGAACTCAAAATCACTGCTGCTGCATTGACTTCCTAATAGATACTGAAGATCACTCAGAAAAGAAACCAAATTCCTGAAACCAAATACAGCAGCAAATTCTGTTACTGGCGTCAAGATGCATGTAAGCTAAAAAAAGAGGAAACTGAGGAAACTGCAAAGTTGTTTAAAAATAGTGAAATGTCTCATGAAAGAGTTTTAGCTCAGCTTGGTCTGTGATAGAAACATGAGCAGTATGGAGTCAGTTGAGACTCCAGCAAAAACACTTCCTACTCCTACTCTGCAGTATGTGTGAATTTACTATTGCACTAATAAAGCAAAAGTTGATCAGAAATGGGAATATCCTCATAACATTTGATTTAGGTGAAAACAAAAACTACACAAGTGATAGTATGGCAATATACAATATGTAAGGATCTGCATACTTAAAGGGATAGTTCACCCAAAAAATGAAAACTGTCATTCCCCTTCAGGAACTCGAGCTGCGTCGAGTCGCTTTGGGAACGCCCTTGCGTGACCGCGTTCTGAAGCACGTGTCAAATCCGTCCAATGGAGCAGCGAGACATCACGGGCAGGGTGACGTAAGCACCAGAAAGCATAAAAGCACATCCGGCCGGGTGCAAACCAGCTTCTGCTCTTCAGTAGCGCTCTGTGTATGTGTCTGTCTATTTACTGTTGTCTGTCCGCACAAGCACTCATATATATATAAAACAATGAGAAAGTCTATGGCGAGCCTGAACACAGCAAACAAAATTACACTCACCTATGACAGATACTCTGTATGTAACAATATTGTTGTCTGAGTCTCCACTTGCTCTTGCTGTGTAGAGTCCACTGTCTGTCTTCTGCATGTTCTTCAGTGTCAGAGAGAAGGTTGTATCATTGAAATCCACTCTGTCCTTGTAGGAAGAGTAAAGTTTTACTCTTTTAGTTTCACTTGTATATCTAACTATAATCTCTGATTTATCATTTTTCCAGGATAAATCATCAAACTCTGGTAGTTCTTGTGTCTGTATATGCAGTTGAACAGAATTTCCTGTTTGCACAACCACAGAGATCTCAGCACTGAACCCTGAGGAGAGAGAAAAATGCCCATTTCGGAAAAATGTGTACTAGAGGCCAAGTGAATTCACCAGTAGTTTTATTATGCTATTAGCATAATAAAAATGTAATGCTATAATGCACATACCTGGAGCTATTTGTCTCTGCTTACACAAATAAACAATAGGTAGGAAAGATTCTCCTTCAGACTTATACTATGTACTCTGTTTCAAACTGATTGTCTCACATTTTTGTTATTAATATTAGTTTTAATGCAGACCACATATGAAAAGAAAATAATATATGGTTGTTTTGTTGCATTTCTTGTTACATACATATTATATAATATTACATATTTTAATGAACATGTGTTTTACCTGTTTTGAAGGTTAGAAGACAAAGAAGAATTCTGAGTCTGTGATTTATTGCCATTGTCATGAATTAAAAACTTAAAAAGAAACAGAACTCAAAATCACTGCTGCTGCATTGACTTCCTAATAGATACTGAAGATCACTCAGAAAAGAAACCAAATTCCTGAAACCAAATACAGCAGCAAATTCTGTTACTGGCGTCAAGATGCATGTAAGCTAAAAAAAGAGGAAACTGAGGAAACTGCAAAGTTGTTTAAAAATAGTGAAATGTCTCATGAAAGAGTTTTAGCTCAGCTTGGTCTGTGATAGAAACATGAGCAGTATGGAGTCAGTTGAGACTCCAGCAAAAACACTTCCTACTCCTACTCTGCAGTATGTGTGAATTTACTATTGCACTAATAAAGCAAAAGTTGAAAGAAAAATGAAAACGGTCATTATTTACTCACCCTCAAGTTGTTCCAAACCTGTATGAGTTTTTTTTCCCTTCTTTATGCTGAACACAAAAGAAGATATTTTCAAGAAAACTGCTGGTCCTCTTTGACTTCCATAATATGGAAAATACAAATACAATGGAAGTCAGTGGAGACTAGCAACCATTTAATTATCCTTTAGACGTTTTTTTTTTTTTTTTTTTAAATATTAGTTCATGTTAAATAATGTAGTTAACTAATTATAACTAATGGTATCCCAAAAAACATATCTTAAATGCAGATAAAACATGTAGGGCCATATATTCTTACATATACTGTAATATTTCCGTCTGGTAGACTACCCTAAGTCATGTTTTGGCTTTGTGTGAAAAACAGACCAAAATATCACCCACTCTTTCCATTTGAGTCAAAAAGGAGTCAGAATGCTAAATGTTAATAGTGCTGAACTCATATTTAACCAGGAACATTCCCTTAATTTTGCAAAAAAGGTTTCCCATGGCTATGAGAGAGAGGCATGACGCGTCACCTTTATTTACTCATTCTCCAATGATTATATAAATTCAATTAATATTATGAGCCGTTTCAGTGCAAACAAAAAAGTACAATAAAGTCAGAATACAGTTAATTAAACAAACAAACAGTTTAATGGTAATAAGGAAATTTCAACAAAACAATTATCACTCATATTATCACTCATTACTAATGAAAGACTTAAATTTGCATGCTTGACATAACATTCTAAAAATATGTTAAAAAGGATGTTAAGTAAGCAGCAGTAATCTCTTCTGTTTATAGCTGAAATGTCTGAATTCTTTCTGCTATGCAAAGTTAAATATCGTCTTCTGTTAAATAATGTAGTTTTGCCTCTTTTTTAAGTGATATGTTGTGATAATTTTGCTATACAATTTTGACAAAGATAAAAAAGCAGATTTGAAAAAAATGGGAGCCACTGATTTGTGTAGATGAATATTTTTGATGTCTGACATAAATAAATAGAACTATACTACATGACAACATATCAATGATGTCTGTGAGCTTAATGATGAACAGTAATTTGAAGCTTACCTCAACAGGAGCATAGACTGTATTACCTTCTACTACCTCCTCCTGGGCACCTGTGAGGTTTAAAATGTCCAGCGATATATTAATATTAAGACTTATCACATAATAAAGAATATGTTCAAATATGCATCTAAAAAAAATAGCATGTGGTTTAGTAAGATATTTTTTTATATTGACTGTTAATTCCAAACTGAGTTTCTTTAGTTTTATGTTATGTGGAACTTCTGCATCTGAGGCTTTCCTCATGTACTCCCATAGTTTAAACCATTTCATATAAATGAAGATTCATTCGGGATTTTGCATATCAGTGTTTTCTTGAGAAGGTTTAATTACAAAATAAGCAGCAGTAATCTCTTCTGTTTATACCTAAAACTTTAGTAGTTATGAATTTGTTGCATTTGTTTTGCTTTTACTACTTATTCTCAATATTATTGAATGATTGTTTGCTATTCCTTCTTTTTTTGGCACCAGCAAAGAACAAATATGTTTCTGTCCTCATCATAGTTACAAAACATTGTGACGTTTAAACCTGAACAGGATGGGTTGAGTTGTGGTGAATATGGAATCTAAAAATTAAGTTCTAAACGGCAAAAATGAGAATGTACTGTTTAAGATAAATATTGTTCTTAAAGATATTTACTTGTTAGTTACTAACTGGTTAGTACTAAGGGTGTATAAATGATCTGATCAGAGCATATTCTGTAGATACAATCATTTTTAAAAGTGGAAGAACACCGTTTTCTACAATATTACAATTGACTAAAACAGAAGAAATAGCACCATCATTCTTTTTAATTACTTTACAAAAGTAGGTCATTTATCAAATTGGTGAACAGAGATCAGTTTTTCATAGAGAATTTATGTGAGGCAACTTGGACATACCTTTTTTACACTTGCAGTATATAAAGACTATAATACATATTATCAAAATGCACACTGCCACTGAACCAACTGACCACAGGAGAAATGAATCAGCCTCAGTCTCTGGAAAAAGAGACATATATCAATAAGAAATACAGCTGACAGATCAGGTTTTCAGAGTTCACACTACAGTTCAGCAGTTAGACTTAGTAAACAAAATAATATACAGTAATTGATTTGTGAGCTAATGTGCATTGTTTGTGTGTGTATTTGGCCAGATACCATTATTAACACAAAGCTGTGTAATATTTAATCTGTCTTCTTTCCAGCTGACAGGGTTGCTATGGTTACAGAAGATGGATTCCTCACTGCAGAACAGGATGAGAGTGTGGATCTCATGTGATGTTACTTCCTCTGGAGAGCAGCTGTTGTTCTGATAGCTAGAGGTAATCATGAGATCATGAGCTCTGCATGTGAAGTTCACAGTACAGAAGTTACCGCTGGACCAGTTTGAGTTCACAGTCAGGACAGGAGCCGCCACAGCATCTGCAAGAATATATATTCCACAAAGATATATCAGATTAGTTAGTCTAGTTAGATTAGTTGATCAACTGTGTTTAAAATAGCATACTCTCAAACTTTTGTTAGATATTGTAACAACAACCTGCATTTTTAATCCTATTCATAATTTTTGTTTGTATTCATCACAGCAGTGCTTTTGCCTTTAATCCGATAGAGGCTAGACTAATACCAAAACTTTATTTTACCACATATAATTCTTGACATCATCTGTGTGTAAAGCATGATTGGAAAATGTGATTAATTTTACCACTTGTACTATATAATACTGTACAGAGTAAATACATCAACAAAATTAAGTCTTATGAGCTGAACACACAAAGCAAAATCACACCCACCTATAACAGATACTCTGTATGTGTCACGAATCCGGTCCATGAACTTTCCTTTTCATTGAC